ATTTATTACTGAATTAACTTTCACGGTAACTTAAAATTCTGTTCTTATTTTTATACGATTAGATCTTTTAATCTTTGCAAGTCATAGTCATTGATTAAATACCGGTAGGTGATTTTGCCTTTTTTTTTTTTTTTTTGGTAGGGTAAAGTCAATGCCTGTTGTTTGAACTGGCAGAGTATTATCTGCTCCTTCCTTAGGAATAATACACTGCTTATCTTATCTGACCCATGACCCAGTGTCACAGTGACCCAGTGCTGTGAAACTAAGGTATCACACACCTCATATATTCTGTACTGAGAGCAAGTTCATACTGAGCTTCCTCCTGATAGCATAAACCCATCTGACACTCTGACACTAGAAAGTGATGACCCAGATCCATCAAGTTCTTGCAGCGGTTCTGCAGTATAAGTGCATAAGTCACCCAGGTGCAGGCATGTGAAACAGAAAAATAACTGTCATTGTATCTGAGAACGTTGGCTTCTGGGGAAAAAGTCAGTGCTTTCCCCTTCACTCGTGAAGGATCTTGCACATTTTGGGTAGAACCACAAAATAAGCAGCAATTTTGAGAATTCATTAGACATATTTGTACAACTTCACACTTTAAAAAAAAAAAAATAAAAAGCCAAACTCCTTTCTTAGGAGAGTCTGAAGTTCTGCAGCCTTAATGCACTTGGCCTGGCCTAAAGAAACAGGAAGAATTGAGAATTTTCTTCCTTCTAAGATTCTCCCACCAACAGCTCGGACCTTGTCCCTCCAAGAACAGAAAAGTGTCCTCGTGCAGGAGTACGGGGGATCGTGGGTCTTGTGCTGAAGTGGCAGCTTTTTCTGTGCTCGCTGCGCCGGCTGCGAAGGGGCTGCTGAGCCCAACCAGGCAGGGTCCCTCCTCCGCCGTCCGTGCTGAGGCACAAGGCATGCCCGGGGGTCTCCCCTCCCTGCGGCAGCGCCCACGTGTTATCCAGCCAGAGTACATGGAGTAAACGTTGCACGCGTGTTCCTCCCTCGGGATAAGCCCCTGGCCGTGGTGGCTCTAACCAAGCACGCAGTTAGCAGCAGCACCTCAGCCCCCAGGAGAGCAGCGTTTAGTGGGCTCTCTGCTGTCCTGTACGGGCAGTCACCATTTCGGCCCCCCAGTGACTGAGGTGGGGACACGATAAGGCTAAATTTCAGGGCTACCTGGTGTCCCGTCAGTACCAACGCCACAGCAGCTAATCACTCTGTGACCGTGAAGTCCAAGTTAGGGTTAAGATAAACTTGCAGAAGTTATCTTCTAGTGCAATAGAATTACATAGCAAACACCAGTCCTCAAATATGACGTGACTCACATCTCAGACGGCAAGTTGTCTAACATTTAACCCTACTGAAC